TATAACTTTTGTATTTTTGTCAAAATTAGGTATTCTAAAGCAAGTTAAAAGCATTGTAATTTGTACATAAACAGTCCTTATTTTTGTCTGAAATAAGTATAACCTTAAACAGAAAATTGGAGGTTAACTAATAATGAATATTAATTTTAATTTTTAATTGTTTTAATTAATGAATATTGATTTTTACATCATTGGAATCAAGAAAATTATATTTAACTATATTGTAAAAATGTGTTAATATTTCATAAGTTTTAGAAGTATATTACATTTTAATCTGTGATTTCTATGTATGTTGTTTGTTATACATTTCTCAATGTTTACCTTAGTTTTACCCTGTTTCTCTTAATTCTTATATTAATCAGTGTTTCTGCTCATTTAACCAGTTGCATATTATTCTAGTGATAAAATATCAAATACAATTGATAGATTTCTGTTATCACTCTAAAAATTATATTAAATGTTCTATAGTTGTAATTGTGTACCTTTACATGAAGTTAGTGCTGATTTAATCTTTCAGACAGATATTAATATATACTATTAAATTTTTGTTCATTTTGGCATAACATCATTTATGAGAAATATGAGCTGTTTTAGGTAATAATTTTTAATAAAATTCAGAAGACTTCTGATTCATTTACTATTATTATTTTGCCAGCCAGAGATTATAGTAGGTAGATTGAAATACTTGCTGCATTAGGCCATCTGTTTAAACTTGGACTTTCACATATTCATTTTATTAATTATTTGTTTGATAACATTGTAGATGTCTAAATTGTGCCTAAATGTGATTTTGTGTCAAAGTAGGAGTGGAATAAAGAAATATTTCATAGTAAAGTTTCCATACTAAGAATGAGCAATTTTTTCAAACCTTAATTTAATGCTTATTTATATATATATCATTCAGTACCAATTGTGTGAACATATTGCATCTTATTAAATAGCCCACCCTTCTCCAGTGGCTAAGTAGTATGTCTGAAGGCTTATACTACTAAAAACACTGGAAGCCCAATGTGTAGCTTTATGTTTGACGATAAACAAACAAATATATCGAATAATATTTTGTTTTATGTCTGTTGTTATACTAAAGTTTAAAGAAGTGATCAAATAAATTGTGGGAAATCAGTCATTCTCTATGTAAAATATCTAATTAGTGGGATTAATTTGAATATTGGTGATAGGTTTATTTAAATTTTGTGTGTGTGTGACATATAGATTTTTAAGGAACTTATAACTTACAAATTTATGGACTCACAAACAATTTGGTGCAGAAAATAGTTTAGAAAAATGTGGTTAAAAAGCCTTTGGGTCTTATGATCCAGTCAATAATTCTAGAGTTAATAAAAATTGCCAATTGTTTTTGTTTTAAATAAAAAATGATAAAAATAGCAATTAATAAGATTCATTTTTGTTTTGATAAAAATAGCAATAAATAAAATTCATTTTTGTTTTTAACCTTCTTTAAACAAAAAAAAAATACTGAACCTCTAGTGGCCTAGTTGTTAGCTTACTGGACTGTGGATCTGAGGTTCTTTTGTTTGGACCCTGTTACAACCAAAATAAAAAACATGCTCTGTACTTTGGAGTTGTTGGTACATAATAAGAGTTATGGTGGGTGGTGTTGACTAGCTGCCTTCCCTCTAGTCTATGACTTCAAAATTTGGGACGGGCAGTGCAGATAGCCTTTGAATAGCTTTGCATAAAGTTCAACAAACAAAAACATCTTTAAAAGCATTTTTGTTTCTTTTAGATAGACAACATTATTACATTTTAACCCATGAAATGTCAAAAAAATAATTGTAACTTTTATTTTCACAATCTAATCACATCAGAATCTGGTCACAATACATTAAAACCATTAGTTTTACTCCGTAATAATAGTAGTAATAACCAGCATGACACTGTATTGACTGCTCAGTGAGAAAATTCAATTTATTGGCTAAAAAAATTAGGAAATTAAAAAAAATGATTCTTATGTTTGTTTTACCCTGATTTTTACTGATTTAGCAATAGTTTGTGGTAAAGGAAAGGAAATATCGTATATAATGTACAATGTTTCTGAAAAAAACTGTAGATATACATTTCAGAAGTTCTATAGGTTATGCAAATGCAATCTCTGTGATGGACAAGTATTTTTATTCTTATCATGAGCATCACCTGGTATTCCAACATCAGTTCACAGACATATTGTGAATACAAATAATTTTGTTATACATCTGATTATTTGTGTACAACAGACTTGTACATTTTACTAAAAGCTTGCCACATTTTGTGTAGTACACATAATAAATCAGAATTATAGTCAACATTTCTCTTCTAATACATGGTTAGTCCAATGAACCTATTCCCTTGCACATTTAGTTAAAATGACTTACAATGAAAACAGTTTTATATTACATATAAGGGGTGTGTTTCTTAGTAAAAATGATTAAAATGCTCCTATTTTCAGGAAGTACTGTAAAGTACAGGTTTTAAGCAGGAGTTACAATTGCATTATTTGTACATGCACATTTTAGTGATATTATGAAACAAATCTTGGTATAAAGATTAAATACATCCAGAGCCATTCTGTTTTCTTGGTTAAGCAGAAGCAAGAAATTCTACATTCAAGACTGGATATTGAAATCGTATTCCTAATTTTTGGTTTTTTGATGAAGAATGAGAGAAATGAGCTGAATTTTACCATCGTTGTCCACACTACATCTTTGTAGTTGTTTTGTATAGAAGAATCAAGCAATAAGCATAATGATTATATTTTTAGCTCTATTTCCTACTTAGGTTTATAATATTAAGTAAAAGTAATTTTACACCTGAGTAAAACGTATCTGGGAAATAGGAAACAGAAATGTGACTGTTAAAGCAAGTGTAATGTTTGATTTTGATATTTTAAAAGCAAATAACTAAAGTGTATGTAAAAAAAAAGATTAAACCTGTATACTTTGATGATTGTACTGATTTGTTGATGGCAAGAGATACTCAGTTAGATGGAGATAGGAAAAACTCTTCTTCTGACATTTGACAGACAAGCACTCTAAAAGTAATAGCTAGGAAAGTTTAGCTTTTTTTAAATCTGGTTTTGTGAAGCTATATTAATTCAAGTTATCAACTAGTTTTGAAGCACAAAATAGAATCTGCTTTTCAAATATTAGATTCTGAATAGGATCAGCCACTTGATATTCAATGCAATATTTTCTTAAGAGAAAAAAAAAGTATACACACAGCATGGTCACAAGTAAATAGATACCACCTTTTCAGAAAAAATGAAATTTTTCAGTCATATTCACATGAATTGATATATTTATAATTTAATTAATATCTAGTAGATCTTCCTTTCGCTTCATGGAGTTCGTTGATCCTTTGGGGCATTGTGAGAATCATCTCATCAGTTTTAGATTGTGGAATTTTCACCCACTCTTGCTTAAAAACTTGGAGTAGATCGCTCTTTGAAGTTGGTTTTTTGGTTGTTTCCTGACTTGCTGTTCGAGTATGGCCCAGAGGTTTTTGATGGGGTTCATGTCAGGAGATTGGCTCAGCCAGGGCAACTTCTGGATACCATTTTCTTCCTGCCACTTTTGGGTGTTTCTAGCAGTGTGACACGGTGCTCCATCTTCCTGGAACAACTTTGTGTTCTTGTTCACGAAACCCGAGGAATAAAGTGCCAAGCGTCCTTCTTCCAATATTTGACATATTTCACAAAATTTATGTCACCGACGCACTCCACTAAGCTCGATCTCCCACCAACCCAAACAGCTCCCCAAAC